CCCCCGGGCTCCGCCACCGGTAGAGAGGAGGATGAAAGGGAGCGACGGTGAGTTCCCGTATTGACCATGGCGCGCAGCAGGCGACGGCCTGCTGCGTGAATGGTGTCGGGGCCCCGAAGACCCGCTGGATGGCGGCCGCCCTCGTCGCTCGCCGCGGCCTCTGCCCTGCCACCGTCGTCATGGTCTTCAGTGGCGGCACAACAACCACCACCACTACCTTCACTATCCCGACCCGAGCTCCACCATGGCTGCCGGCAACTCCAAGACATGGCCTTTGGCGCGAGGACGAATCAAGAGGGGGAGCCGGTCTTGCGATGGAAGAAGCCGCGATCTGGGACGGGCGCGGCGCCATAGCTGCGACAGAAGCTTCAGCCAAACTCGGGCTTGCCGCGCTCCTCCTTTCACGCCGGCGGACCTCCCGTTGGAGGCCGCGACGACGGTACGGGGCGGTAGCAGATCCAATGCCTCCGCTCCCCACGGTCGACTGTCGGCAGGGAAGGCGAAAGAGGAGGAACGAATACGTATTGGGCAAACGGAAATACGAGAGCTTCGTGATTTTTTTTTGGCAGAAAAGACACGCGAGGGAGGAAAACTGGCGCAGCCGTTAGATGAAAAATTAGCGATGAGGAGCACGGATGGGAGCACGGGACGGGAGTGGGCAAGCCCCGTCCCACTGTACATTCCCTTAGGTATTTTTCCCGTGTGCTACAATCCAACACACTTCCGTGCCTAACTGTGTACCGGCCCGGTCGTAAAAATGTGAACTTGTTTAGCATTTAAGTTTTTTTTAACATCAGTACAGACACGAGATCTTATATACACGCGTATACACTTACCCCTATGAACGCACACACGCACATCCTACCCCTACGAGCACCTCCGAAAGAGTGAGCCAGCATATCATCTTGAGATTTACGAAGTCACTGTAGGCGCCTCGTCGTCGACGGGAACGTCTCCTTCCACTGAATGCGCATCGACAGAAATCCTAAAATAAATCCAGAAATAAATGCGGGCACCAGAATTTGAACCCTGATGGGCTAGGGATATCTCACAGTCCCTCTAACCATGCAACCACAGATTGGTTCACGTTTAGCACTTAAGTAGATGCACTTAGTTTGTTTAGCACCAGTGGAGAAACTTGGCTGGACAACCATCAAACAAAAAAACAACAACCAGCAATAGAAAGTTGTCAATGAAACGGCCACAAACAGGCCGAGCCCCTCCTCTCTCCACGACCAGATAACGGTTGGAATAGTCGTAAAAATGGAGAGGGGCTCAACCTATTTTTTTTTCTTCTGTTCGCTCGTTTATGGGCCTGCAAGAGTGTTGGAATAGTCTATCTGCCAGCAAAAAGTCATTTTGGAGGACGGGCTCTAGCGAGCCCTATATTTTAAATAGTGTCAAAATAGTTTTTTTTTTAAGTTTTAAAAAAATCTAAAAAGAATTCAACATGTTTATATGGATGTATATTACACAAAAATGACAAAATCAAGATTTTTTAACATATGAACAATGCATGTATTATTCACTATATTTAGAAATCACCATTTTGTCATTTTTGTGTAGCTCACATGTTTACTTATTTTATCACCAAACTTTACACATGTGTAATATACATCAATATGATCATGTAGAATTATTTTTGGAACTGTTTAAAACTTTAAACGTGATTTTCATACTATTTAAAATAAGGTCCTTCAATGCACCCAGGCTCCAAAAATCCACTCTCGTTTGCCCCCCATATAAACAACCCAATTGCTTAAAAATGCAGCTGCTCTGCATCCTTGTGTTGAGCGCACGCATGCGGGCTGTCCAATGCTGATGGACGGCTCCTTGTCGAGTGGAACGGCTTAAGCGAGTCGACACACGTGGCGACAAGGACCCCCCCCCCCGACGTGCTCGTAGTGGTGGGCCCGAACAGTAATTTCAGGCAAAACCCGCCCCCTTCAACGGTAGAAGTGGGCGGCGCTTGGATGCGGCAAAAGGTGGGGCCCGTTGGTGGACGCAGCGGCAGGGGGCGAGGCATTGCCGCAAAGGCCAGAAGTGGGCGGCGGCAGCGATGGCGAAGAGGGTGTGATGTTGATTGGAGGGCCAAAGGAGGATGCCACGGGTGTCTCATGCGTGTCTGCGTCCTGCGTTGGGCCGCATATTTTGTCTGTGCAGACCTAATGGATGCGGGCGGACGAAATGGGTCAGCGTGTTGGAGTTGGCCTTACTATGTGGTGGGTATGATGTGCATGTGTTTATAGAGATGAGTGTCTTATAAATATGTAGGTGACCATTGTACTGTGCTCAAAAAGTCGCATTGTCCTATTTATTTTTTGGTTTTTTGTGACCTCGGTTCCTCCTGCGATATACACCGACTACCGTTGCCGTCGATGGTTTTAGGACGAGAGAAAACGATTCCTTCGATGTGTACCCTCGTACAAAACAATGGAAGAAGGACAACCAAGTACTTCGTGCGTCGATTCCCATGAATGCAATGCACCGCCACGTATATAAATGGACGCCCGTGCTAAGAAGTTAGAACTATTCGGTCGTCAACATGGCATCGCTTCTATTCCTAGTGAGTAGCTCATGGCTCCTCTTCTGCTCTCTCTTCCTTACTCCGGTGGCCGCCGATCAGCGGGCCTCGTACATTGTCCACATGGACAAGTCCGCCATGCCGCCAGCGCACTCCGACCACCGTGAGTGGTACTCCACCGTGCTAGCGTCTCTAACACCAGCAGCTGACTCTTCGGGCGCCGCCAGTCGCGAGCAGCCGCGGCTCGTCTACATCTACGACGAGGCGCTCCACGGCTTCGCGGCCACCCTCTCGGCCTCCGAGCTCCGCGCCCTGAGCCGCGCGCCGGGCTTCGTCTCGGCCTACCCGGACCGCCGCTCTGACATCACTCACGACACCACCCACTCCACGGAGTTCCTCCACCTCAGCCCGTTCGGTGGGCTGTGGCCGGCAGCCAAGCTCGGCGAGGACGTCATTATCGGCATGATCGACACTGGAGTGTGGCCGGAGAGCGCGAGCTTCAACGACGCCGGCATAGCCCCCGTGCCGTCCAGGTGGCGCGGCACGTGCGAGCCCGGGGTGGCGTTCCCCGCCTCCCTATGCAACCGGAAGCTCATCGGAGCGCGCTACTTCAATAAGGGTTTGGTCGCCGCGAACCCCGGTATCAAGATCAGCATGAACTCCACGCGCGACACCATAGGCCACGGCACGCACACATCGTCGACAGCCGGGGGCAGCCCCGTGCCGGGCGCGTCCTTCTTCGGGTACGGGCTCGGCACGGCCCGTGGGGTTGCCCCGCGTGCTCATGTTGCCATGTACAAGGTCATCTGGCATGAGGGCCGGTATGCGTCTGACGTGCTAGCCGGCATGGACGCGGCCATCGCGGACGGCGTCGATGTCATCTCCATCTCAATGGGTTTCGATGGCGTGCCGCTGTACGAGGACCCGGTGGCCATCGCTGCTTTCGCCGCCATGGAGCATGGTATCCTCGTGTCGGCTTCGGCGGGTAACGACGGCCCACGCCCCGGCAGTTTGCACAACGGCATCCCATGGCTGCTCACAGTCGCGGCTGGCACGGTGGACCGGACAATGTTTTCTGGTACCTTGTCCTATGGCAACACGACGCTAACCACCATAACAGGCTTGACGAACTATCCGGCGAACGCTTGGGTGGTCGGCACGAAGCTGGTGTACGACGACACCATCTCGGCGTGCAACTCGTCGGCGTCAATGGCAAACGTAACGAAGAGCATAGTCGTGTGTCGTGACACCGGGTATGTCACTGAGCAGCTGGACACCACGAACGAGGCCGGCGTCGCCGGTGCCATCTTCATCACGGACGTCAAGACTTTTGATGACACCATGCCGCTCCCAGCCATTTTCATCAGCTCGAAAGACGCACCAGCGCTGCTGAGCTACATCAACTCCACCATGACCCCAACAGCAACAATGAAGTTCCAGCAGACGATCCTCGGCACGCGGCCTGCGCCGGTGGTCGCCGTGTACTCTTCTCGAGGCCCGTCCAAGAGTTACCCCGGCGTGCTCAAGCCGGACATACTAGCGCCGGGGGACAGAATACTCGCGTCGTGGGCGCCCGTATCTCCACTGGGGCTGATCGGCCAGACCTCGCTGGGCAGCGACTTCCTCGTCGCCTCCGGGACGTCCATGGCGTGCCCGCACGCCAGCGGCGTGGCAGCGTTATTGCGGGCGGCGTACCCGGACTGGAGCCCCGCCATGATCAAGTCGGCGATGATGACCACCGCGAGCACCAACGACAACACGCTCCACCCGATCACCGACGCCGGCGCCGGCTTCGACGGCAACGACAACGCCACCGCGGCTAGCCCGCTGGCCATGGGTTCCGGCCAAGTCAGCCCCAACTCGGCCATGGACCCGGGGCTGGTGTACGACGCCGGGCCCAAGGACTTCGTCGAGCTGCTCTGCTCCGCGAACTATACCAACGCCCAGATCGCGGCGATCACGAGGTCGTCGACGGCGTACAACTGCTCCTTCTCGTCCAACGACGTGAACTACCCGTCGTTCGTGGCGAGCTTCGGCTTCAATGCCACTAGCGGGGAGATGCGGTTCAGCAGGACGGTGACCAGCGTCGGATCAGGTCCGGCGACGTACCACGCCTCGTGGGTTTCGCCGAGCAACGTGGCCGTGGCCGTGACGCCGGCGACGCTGGAGTTCAGCGGGGCAGGGCAGAAGATCTCGTTCGAGGTAGACATCAAGCTCACCGCGCCTACTCCCGGAGGCAAGGTCGCCTACGGGGCCTTGGTGTGGACCGACACGAGCGGCAAGTACCGCGTGAGGACACCCTACGTTATCCTTTGATGCTCGCGTTGCATCTTCCCTTTCATGTGGGTTGTGGCATTCTAGGATATATACTGTCAAATCTTTGTTGGAGTAACGTTTTATTATGATTGGTTGACGATATGGAGAACTGTGGTATTGTGATTTGTGTTCTTTTTTGTGTGTGTTGTGAGTTGTGTTTCTTTTAAACAATATCGACTTTATTAATTACAGATAATGGTTACATTGTCTATAAAGAGAGATACAATATTTTTCATGGGCTTCTCGATCCAATCCCTAGTCATTGAACAACATTTGCTAATCTAACAAGCTCATGGGCTTTCCCTCAAAAAAAAAAGCAAGCTCATGGGCGAAAATTCGTTGATGCTCCCGGGAGCGCGCGCTCCTGCACGCGAAAAAAAAAATCAAAGTGTGAAAAAAATTCAAACAAAAATTTGGCGCATACATCTCGACATTATATGTGTGCACGTCAAGTTTCGGAGAAAACCGACATTTTTGTGCCTTGTGTAAAAAAGACAAAAGGATGTCTTGTGAAAAGCATTTTTTAACACCAGATTTTGTCTTTTTCACACGCGACACATAAGTTATCGGTCTTTTGCGAAACGACTTTGTGAGCATGTACAATATCAAAATATACGCGCCAAGTTTTTATTTGGATTTTTTTTACATTTCAAAATTTGTTTAAAATACATTTTAAAAACCAGGAGTGCGGACTCCCATGTGTCAAAACGCCACACTCGCTCATGTGCTACTTTATTCGCTTTTCTATTACAATGATCAAAACTAGTAAGACAAAAACGTAGGCCGTAAAAAAGCAATCCTCAAAAATTACGGCTGCCGCTCCTGCAGAATGACTTCCATTCTTCATTGTGTTAATTATCCATGTTATCACAACCCGCCTTTTTGCCAGTACTAGGCCAAACACAACTAGCAATTAATAATGCTACTAGTTACTTCTATTACATTGAGTTGTGTTGTGAGTTGTGTTCGCTTCTCATAGATATCCCGATTTGACTAAGTAGGATGTTCTATACGCGGTTGCTCCGTTCCCTGAGAATGACTAGGGGGGCGAGGACCCCAGGTCCACCCATCATCGAGGCAACACTGAGGCAAAAATCATCAAAGCTCTAGTAAAGAGTAAAGTGTGGCAAATAATCTAATCTCCCTTCGAACAGGCTAGAAGAAATTTTCATGCAACAGTGCCGCTAGCTACCTGTAGCTGAATTTTCATTCAACAAGATTAAAAAACTGAAAGATGAGGATGGTGTATGGCAGACTACACCCTCAGTCATGGAGTTAATGGCCACTTCCTTCTTTAAGGAATTGTTCACCAGAGATCCTTCTTTGAATGCTGATGAGATAATTGGCTTGATAGATAGAAAAGTAACGGATGAAATGAATGCTTCACTTTGTAGGGATTTTACTGAACAAGAAATAGGCGACGCGCTGTTTCAAATAGGTCCCCTGAAGGCCCCTGGACCGGATGGATTTCCAGCAAGGTTTTATCAAAGAAACTGAGTGGTTTTAAAGGACACGATTGTTGCGGCCGTCCGGCTGTTCTTTGCCACAGGGCACATGCCATCAGAGACAAACTCAACGGCAATCGTGTTAATTCCGAAAACAGATCAGCCTGAGACAATTAGAGAGTTTCGGCCTATCAGTTTGTGTTCAGTTCTGTACAAGATTGTGGCTAAGTGCTTGGTGAACAGACTCCGTCCAATCCTTGGGGATATCATCTCTTTGAACCAGAGTGCCTTCGTCCCCGGCCGTATGATTACCGATAATGCCTTGGTAGCGTTTGAATGTTTTCATGCCATTGAGCACTGTAAAAAGGAGCAAGATTCTTATTGCGCTTATAAGTTGGATTTGTCAAAGGCGTACGACAGGGTTGACTGGGAATTTCTTAGAAGAATGATGCAGAGTTTGGGTTTCGCTCCCCGATGGGTTGATTGGATTATGTCCTGTGTGACATCGGTGAGCTATTCAGTAAAATTTAATGGAACCCTTCTTGATTCGTTCTGCCCATCCAGAGGTCTTCGCCAAGGTGATCCGCTTTCCCTTTTTTGTTCTTGTTTGTTGCTGATGGCCTTTCCGCTCTGTTGCATCGTGAAGCATCCCAGGACTATCACGCCGATCAAGGTTTGCCGTCGTGCCCCGGGTATTTCCTATTTGCTCTTTGCAGATGATACCTTGTTGTTCTTCAAGGCAGACAGCGAACAAGCAGAACGTGTTAAACATGTGCTTGAGATATATGCTAAAGGAACAAGCCAGGTGATCAACCCTAACAAGTGCTCTATCTTGTTCTCTCCGATCTGCCCAACTAGTACCCAAGAGTGCATTAAGGGTACACTGCAAATTACGCAAGCAACCTTTGAAGCTAAATACCTTGGCCTCCCGACACCAGATGGCAGAATGAGTAAGGGTAAATTAAAAAGCCTACAAGAGAGTTTGGCTAAATGCTTAATGGAATGGGAGGACAACTATCTCTCTATGGGTGGAAAAGAAATAAAGATCAAGGCGATCGCTCAGGCCCTCCCGGTTTATATTATGAGCGTCTTCAAGGTACCAGCGGGGCTATGTGAGGAACTCATGAGAATGATTCGTCACTTCTGGTGGGGTGCGGAAAAAGGTAAACGGAAAACACACTGGGTCAGCTGGGACTTTATGGTGAGACCTAAAGGAAAAGGTGGAATGGGGTTTAAAGACCTTCGGACGTTCAATCAAGCCCTCTTAGCACGGCAAGCCTGGCGTCTTATTCAGTTTTCGGAAAGTCTCTGTGCACAGGTTCTGCGGGCCAAGTACTATCCGGATGGGTCCATTCTTGACACTGTCTTTACCAGGAACGGATCGTCAACATGGAACACCATTGAGCATGGCCTGCAATTAGTGAAGCAGGGGCATGTTTGGCGGGTGGGAAATGGTACTGACATACGTATTTGGCGTGACCCGTGGTTGCCGAGAGGGCCTCCCTTTAAGCCAATCACGCCGAAACGACGGTGCCGACTGAAATGGGTGGCTGACCTTCTGAATTTTGATGGGTCTTGGAACATTTCACTCCTCATACAATACTTCTATCCGGCTGATGTTGTAGAGATTTTGAAAATAAAAACCTCTCGCCAAGGGGAGGCTGATTCTATTGCTTGGCTACCAGACAAGCATGGTCGTTTCTCTGTGAAGTCAGCGTACAATTTTGCAAGGGATGATATCTTGGCTCGAAAGGGGACTGCTGCGTGTAGTACTCGGCCTGATGGCTCAAGGCCGGGGTGGAAAATGCTATGGAGTTGTGGAGCACCACCCGAAGTCTGTGTGTTTGCTTGGAAAGCTGCTAGGGAAGCACTGGCCACTAGGCTGAACAAGATGAAACGCCATATGGAGGTTGATGGAGTGTGCACCATTTGTGGACAGGAAGATGAATCAGTTCATCATGCACTCGTACGCTGCCCCCACGCTCGGAACTTGTGGAATGTTATGAGGCTAGTTTGGGACCTGCCATCGGAGGAGGTTCTTAGTAGAAGAGAACCAGATTGGTTGTTGCTGCTCTTACACGAATTATCTAAGACCCAACGGATGCTTGTGCTCATGGTGTGATGGCGTGCTTGGCATATACACAATGAGTTGACTCATGACAAGCCACTGATTCCAGTAGAGGTGTCCAAGAGGTTCCTTTGTGATTATGCGCAATCCCTGTTGACAATCAAGCACTACCCACATGCGGATACTATCAAAGGGAAACTGCTAGTCCTGACAGAGTTAAGCAATTTTGTTCCTGTCACTAGCAGTACAAAATGTTTGGTCAGTCCTGTTGCTTGGGAACCCCCACCGGACGGACATGTCAAACTGAATTTTGATGGCTCGTTCGTTGTCGCTGATGGGTCTGCGGGAGCGGGCATGGTACTGCACGATCACTTGGGCCAAGTAATTTTTGCAGCGTGTAGATGGCTGTATGATTGCCCGGGACCACTGGAGGTCAAGATTGCTGCATGTGCTGAAGGGCTTAACTTAGCTCTGCATTGGTCCCAGAAACCCATCTTAGTGGAAACAGACTGTGCTGAACTTGTGTCCATGATCAAGACTGGACCGGCAGATCGATCTAGTAGCATGTACCTTATTTCAGAAATCACAGAGATGCTAAAGGAGCGACACTCCCAAGTTCGGAAGATCACTCGTGCGCAGAACAAGGTTGGACACGCTATGGCAGCGATAGGGCGTGGACAGCAAAGGACGGCTTGTTGGCTCGCAAATGTTCCTCAGGAGATTAGCATTGTCGTTATGAATGATTGTAACACTATGATCAATTAAATAATGAAATGCTTTCCCCCCGCAAAAAAAATATTCTACTACAGTTTTGTTTTCTGTGACCCATCTTTTTTTAACAAAATAAGGAATCTAATAATTATTAGACCGATAATACTACACTCACAGAGAGAAACAAGGAACTATTACGGATCCCCCCAAGGTGCCCTCATCTAGTTGACCTCCCTGAAAATTTCAGGTGTGGGCTCCAACCAATCAGGACCTAATTACTCCGTAAATCCCCCGTGAAGGGTCCGTGCGTCTAGCATCTCTCTTAGACAAAACCCTAAAATGTACTCGTCACTCCGCTAGAGCTACCTTCAAAGAAATAGGGAGTATATCTCTTACGTTTCCTCATGTTCTATGTGTACTTCTGATCCCTCCAAGGAATTCTCATCCCACCCATCTTCTAGCAAGCCCGATACCAAGAGATGGTACTACAAGAGATGGAACTTGTACACTAGTACATCATATCTCTTTTCTCCTCCATAAGAAAAGCTCTCTCCTCCCGTCGACGCCGCCATCGATCCGTCCCATCTCCGATGGCCTCTAGGCCATGGAGGTGCGAAGGGTCTCGGCCCCCTGCCGGCGGGAGGGACCCTGTTCTCGTTCTTGTTTGATTCAGCGTCTTGGTTGGGGTTCTGTGGTGGCGGCGATATCCCTTAGTAGGAATAATGTCTCCCACGTTCTATCCCTCTCCAGATGGTGCATCTAGCTTCGTCGGAGTG